GATTTTTAGTATCAACAGTACCCCTGGTTTGCTTTTGTTTTTGCTAGTTTTTTCCCGGCTGGGGAAGTCTTTATTCTTGCCCTGGTTTGCTGTCCTCCTGCCAGAGCTTCCGGGCCCCTTTTCCAACAAAAGGGGCCAAAATCGAAAACAAAAGAGGGCTCGACCGCTTTTGCGGGACTTCCTCCAAAGGCGTTTGAGGTCGCCTCCCAAAGCCTTCCAGCACGCCATTCTTGAAAACACAAAACCAAAAGTGATCCTAGCTTCATTAATGCAAACAACCTGCAACGCTCCTCCCCCAATGCCGCTGCCTGCTCAAAATCCAAAGACTTCCACTTTCATCGTACGCAACCCTGAAGCGATTTCTGGGACATTTTCTAGGAATCAATACCGTACATAACACAAGCACACTTCCCGCTCTTCCTCTTTCCCAACAAGGTATCTTTCGAGGGCACTCCTCTTCCCCGTACACCTGATCCCGACCGTCTCGTGTCATTTTTTGGCGTGCCTTGCAGTCATGCTTCGCTGAAAACAAACATGTTGTGCCCCATGACCTGTGCTTTGTGCTTTGCATTGCCTGCACTGCCCACATGCAAGCGAAGCTCCCATAGTGCATGCGTGCCCCAAGCCCTGCAAGGAAGCGCTGGCAGATGGTTCCGAACGTCCACTCTGCGTCGGCCATGGCTGCGCCTCGCACGAACTCGACTGTGAAGCTTCTCAGCTTTACATCAACCCTGTCCACATATTTCAACAAGGATCGCTCAGCTGCTGGACGCCAGCTGCCGTAGCAGCTGCGGTAGCAGTAGCGCTAGCAGTAGCCAAAGCCATAAAGGCGGTAGCGGTAGCAGTAGCCGGTGGCGGTGGTGGTACGTGGCGATGGCAGTGGCAATGGCAGTGGCCGTGGCAGCGGTGGCAGCAGCAGCAGCAGCAGCCGTGGTGTTGCTGATGGTGGTGATAGCAATAGCGGGCAGCGTTGTGGTGCTAGTAGTCGCAGTAGCAGCAGCGAAAACGGCTTGCAGGAGTAGTGCAACGTGTGCCCATACCATACCGGCCACTTCCGCGATCCTGTTACTGACAAAGCGGTGTACTAACATGTTGGCAGTGAGTAGCAAGTCAGGCAAGGCATGGCATGTGTTGCTGCGGAGACCGCATCAGCTGGCCTACTGCGCCATGGCTTCCAGTGAAGATGTGTTCACGAAAGCCAATGATTCGTGCCTGGACAGTCCTGTGGCAAAAGGCTGCGCAGCTTTTCTGCAACTACAGCCTCCGACAGTAAGTCTCCTCCGATCACAGCCCGGAGGCTGAAAGTGCCGCAAGACAAAGGGCACCTTGCAAGCCTTGGAAGCTGCTGTAGGTCAAACCAGAAAGGCCCAACAAAATGTCATGACTGCTCTCTCTCTCCCTCCCTCTGCCTCACCGAAGAAAGCGCCCATGTTGGCATCCATCATCTGCAGGTAATGGCCCGGTGCAAATCCTTGCTGCTACGATGGTCTGGATTACTGGCACTCATATCACCACTGCTGTTTCGTGCAATCAAGACACGGAGCGCGCCAAGCTGGTTTCCAGCCTTGCCCTGCGTTTTCGCAGCTGGCGGACGCGGTTCCAGTTCGCCCAGTACGAGTGGGTAGACTCGCGGCAATACTTCCACAACCTGGGCAGCTGCCATGGTAGCAGAAGCAGACGTGGCATTTGCTCAAGTGCTAGACTTAGACCAGAGTTGCTAGAGTCCTAGCAGTTCTAGGTTGCAGCTGCAGCAGCTGTCTAACCAGAGTGGTGGCGGAAGTGTCTTTTGTATGTTCGCTCTCTACTGCACAAATCCAGAAGAATCATGCACTTCGCGTTCGCACTCCGAGGAACCTTCACAATGCTCTCCTCCGGTTGGCCCTTGCTGTAGTTCCTGAAGTGCGCACACGAAAGCAAGCCAAAGCTAACCTTTGACGAGCCTGCTTGGTCCCATGCTAATCAGACGAAAGGGCTTGAATGTTAGGATTAACATTGTGAGGAGGCTTCTAACATTTGGCCTCAGCCGGGACTCTCATTGAATGCCAGCAGCACAGAGGCGAACTGAATCCGTCCCGTAAACTTGTGCTCGCGGGCCACATAACACGTCACCATCTCTCTCAGCGAAGGCCTCGGCACGTAAACACCGGTGCAAGAAGCAAAGACTCAAGTGGCTCTACCTGCTTCGAAGTCCAGGGCTTTGACCGTGCGACGTCAGAGTTGTAATCGCCTCAAATATGCTGATTGGAGGAAAAGACGGGGGAATATAAATCTATGGAATCAGCCGCCAAAGCTGCCATCAAGCAGCATACCAGGTAGATGGGATAGTGACGATACTGCAACAGCAATCGTCGCATGTCCTGGTCAACGCTCTCCTTGTGCCTCTTGTTGCCATAAGTCTGGTGAGCGATGTAGAGCTGCACCAAGCCTGTCAAGCATTGCGGAAGCCAGCAGAGCAAGCCCTGCAACAGAATCACTCAGTCGTTCTTACCGGGACTCCCAAAAGCAACTCTTGATACATTTTCTTTCAAAACCTGTTACCGGAAATCCCAGTGCTCTCAAGCAAGAGGTCTACAGTATATGCCTGAATAAGCAATAGTAATAGTAAAATGATTGCCCTCGGTCTTTCCTCACGATCCCCATTAACCCGTAGCTGTGCATATATCTATATATATATATACAATCAGCATATAATACCCTCCTTTGTAACCCTTGTAAGTTACAGGGTGACACGCACAACTCGAAGCCTGCCAGAGTCCGGTTTGGATTGTCAGATGCCTGGACGGCCGGAAGCATTTCCTGGGCGTAGATTTCGCTCGTATAGCCATACAGCAAGATGGTAACATAAGAATAGAGAAATTTGGCAACATTGCACTTGCGTCCTAGAATAGTCACTCGCAGCTGGGCATCCAAGACCTTGTGGTATTGAATGGCCCCGGCAACCGTGCGATAGACAGTCCTTGTGGGCTCGCATGACTGGGGCGTGTCTTCTCAGGGCCAACATGTGCCAGGAGCATCATCGACAGGACACCGAGCCAAGGTGCTGAGAGCGTTGCGATGCCCAGAGCCGAACCTGGAGGCTGAGCTCTTGAATCTCATCCACGCGGTCAAAATCCTGACCAAAATCCATGCAAGCGGGCACTGAAGAGCAAGATGTAACTCATGGCGTCCATGCATGCTCTCCTGCTGAACTTCAGCCCTGCGGGCCCACTCCCGCAGATCGCCCAACACGAAGGCGTTGAAAAGCTCGCGTGGCTCCATGCCATGCTTGCGGGTGAAGATCTCCCATTGATCTTCTGCCTTCAGGAATTCTTAGCAAGGCAAGGGAAGGAAAGCCCTCTTGGGCCTACATGGACCTGCCTACCTTTATGTTCTGTGCCCTCCTGGTCCCAGACTGACCTGAAAACTTTTCCGGCTGAGTGGTGCCTGCCTGCGCGATGAGGAAGCCCAGGTTTGTGTTGCGTCCATCGGAGGAACAGAGGAACTCCTCTGTGAGGATCACTTGCTCTTCATATACAGGAACCTGGGTTGCTGTTAAGGA